CATTTTTATTTTGAATATTCAGCCAAGGTCTCACTAAACTGCCCAGATTGCCCAGGATGACCTGGAATTTAGGATCCACTTCAGCCTCCCATGTAGCTGGGATTATAGGTGTTTACCACGGCGCTAGGTCCAGAAATTTCCCTTTTCTTCCCTCCCCTCCCCAGCTCTCCCCTCCCCTCCCCTCCTCTCCCTTCCCCTTCCTTTCCTTTCTTTTGTTTGTTTTTTATGTTTTTTTTTTTGTACCACGAATTGAACTCAGGAGCTTGTGCTTGCCAGGCAGGCGCTTGTGCTGCTGAGCTACATCCCCAGCCCCAGTAATTTTATGGTCTTCTTTTTGGTGTGTGTGTGTTTGTTTGTTTGTTTTTTGAGCTAAAGTCTTGCTATGGTAGCTCAGGCTGCCCTTGAACTCATGGGGGTCCTCCTGCCTCAGCCTCCCAAGGGCTGGGACTACAGGTGTGCCACCATGCCCCTGCTATACATTATTTTTTAAACGTGCATATTCCACTTCTCTGGGTTGGAGAAAGGTCTCTTTCCTTTCAATCTCTTTTGGACTTTTAGGGAACACGTGACTCAGGGTAACTCGAGTCTGTGTTCCCCAGCCGTGGTCACTTGTATTAGGCTCAGGATAAACTATTTGCCTTTGTCCTGTACAAAAACAAGAATGCTACTCTGCATAGGAGCGAGGGCTGCCGAAGTCCAGGTTTGAGGGACCCTGGGCCAAGACGCAGCTGGGACCGGGCAGGTGGGCGTGGGCCCTGAGCCAGCGTGGGGCTCTGTTTACCCGAGGAGCCAGAGGCTGAAGTCCAGAGTGGGTGGGGAGAGGCGCAGGGCCCGGGCCGTTGGCGGCTTTGATCGAGGCGCCTTTGAGTCGGGGCTGTTCCCCACGCTCTCTCGCCCGCCCGCCCGCCGGCTGGGGTCCGTTCTGGGCTCTGGACCGCGGGCTGCGATGCTGCGGCTGCTGGCGACCAGGGGCGCGGGGCGCCGCGTGCGCCCTCCTCCCGCGGCCGGGCTCGGTCACCTGCGCCGCAGCCCCCGCCGCCAGGCTTCCGACGTCCCCCGGAACCAGCCTCCCAGCCCCGATTTGGTGGCTCGGCCGGTGGGCATCAGCTCCATGATGCGCCTGCCGGTGCAGGCCTCTCCCGAGGGGCTGGATGCCGCCTTCGTCGGGGTGCCCCTGGACATCGGCACCTCCAACCGGCCGGGAGCCAGGTGAGCCCGGAGTGCTGGGGCTGGCGACACATGGCCGGCCTCATGGCCGTGGGGCGGGGAGGACCCTCAACAAGCAACACCAGGGGCTGTATTCGGAGGAGCACCCCTGCAGGTCGGGTCAGCCTTCTCCAGGCCTCCACCCTGGGCTTTGGGGGACGGTGGCTGTGGGTCCCCTACTCCCTCACCCCGTCTTACAGTGGCAGGGGACATTGCATTTGAGAATCGATGCTGGCAGTTGTCCCTTCCCAAAACCTCTGGCTATCGATTGACACAAAAAATGCTCCACCTGCCCAGGAATGGTGGCAGACCTCAGAGGCTGAGGCAGGAGGATCACAGGGAGTTCAAGGCCAGCCAGGGCCACATAGTGAGCTCAAGAGCAGCCTGAACTGCACAGCAAGTTTTAACCTCTCCCCTGCCGTGCTCAAATTAAAGAACCTTTCCTGACATCATGTTAGAGGAACTTAAATCTATTTTCCCAATTACCGAGCGCTAGCAGTTTCTGGTTCAGCTTATTACATCTGATGTATTACTCTGAATTGTCTACTACATGCCCGGTGCTTTGCATAACTTACCTGACTTAATGACAGCAGTGTGAAGTTATGATTATTTTACAGATTAGTAAACTTGAGACTCAGAGAGATTAAGAAATTATCTAGGGCCGGGGAGACAGCTCAGCGGCGCAAATGCCTGCCTGGAAAGCGCAAGGTCCTGAGTTAAAAAAAAAGAAAGAAAGAAACTATCTAATGCCATTTAATAAATTGGGGGCAGCTGGGTGTGGTGGCACATACCTTTAATCCCAGCACTCTGGAGGCTGAGGCAGGAGGAATGTTGTAAGTTTGAGACCAGCCTGGGCTACAAAGTGAGCTCAAGGCCAGCCTGAACTGCACAGCAAGACCCTGTCTTAAAAAGACAAGAACAAAAACAAAATAAATTGGTGGTAAGTGGGCTCCTGAATCCGGGCCCTTGATCTTTTCAGTATGTAGCCTGGGGTTTGGTAGCACATTTGCGAAGCAACTGAGAAAAAGATAGTTAGCATCAGTGTTCTCAAGGGGGATGATTTTGCAACCTAGCCCAGGGGATCGGGATTTCCGGCCAGGTCTGGGGACATTTTTGGTTGTCACAGCTTGGGGGAAGAGGTACTGCCAGAACCTGACCTGTACAGGCCACAGCTGCTGCTGAACACCCCACAGGGCAAGGCCGTGGCAGGGAAGAAGCAGCGCCCTGGGCAGAGAGCCCTTCGCCCCTGTGAAGGTGGCCGCGGCCACCCTCCTCCTCCTGCTCCTCCCCGCAGGTTCGGACCCCGCCGCATCCGGGAGGAATCCTCCATGCTGCGCGCCGTCAACCCTAGCACTGGCGCCCTCCCCTTCCAGTCCCTCACGGTGGCCGACCTGGGCGATGTGAAAGTCAACCTGTACAACCTTCAGGACAGCTGCCGGCTGATCCGAGAGGCCTATGAGAAGATTGTAGCGGCTGGCTGTGTCCCTCTGACCTTAGGTAACCGCGTCCACAGGGGCGAGTGGAGCTCCTTGTGCTCAGGGTTTATCCGGCACGCAGCTGCCTCTTCAGGGCGGGCTTCCGGGAAGATGGCAGCAGAGGTAGGAAAGAGGTGTTTGAATTCATTGATTTCAGTCCCAGCCACAGCAGCACTGTTAGGGCTGGTGGGCTAGGGTGAGGGAGAAAGGCATCTACCTAGTGCAGAAATTAAGGGTATTCAGGCACTGTAGAGCACTTCTCAGATCCCACCACAGAGGGAGGCTGAGGCAGGAGGGTTGACATTGACATTTCAAGTCTCACCTGGGCAAGTTATCAAAACTCTTTCTCAAAAAGTAAAAGAGCTGGAGATGCATCTCAGTTGAAAGTGTTTGATCCCCACAACAACAGCAAAAACAAAATGCCAAAAAAGTCAATAAGCAAGATTAATGCAACAGTAAGTATCGCTAATTTTCCCTTTGCCTCAGCCTCTAGTATGGCTGGGAGCAACATGGTTACTCATCCTGATTTTTATTTTGAGACAAGACAAGATTTTTTGTTTTGTTTTTAAGACAGGGTCTCATATAATGCAGGATGGTCTTGAACTCACTTATGGAGCCCAGGCTGGCCTCAAACTCATGGCGATTCTCCTGCCTCAGCCTCCTGAGTGCTGGAATTACAGGTGTGCACCACCATGCCCAGCTTATCTGTTTTTTTGTTTTTCTTCTTAAATTTTGATTGCTTTTGTTCTTTTTTTTTTTTTTTTTTTTTGAGATGAGGTCTTGCTGCTGTGTAGTTTAGAATGGTCTTGAACTCACAATGTAGCCCAGGCTGGTCTTGAGCTTGCATTGATCTTCCCCTCCTGAGTGCTGGGAGTACAGGTGTGCCTGATTTTGATTTTCAAAAAAAATAAGAGCTGGCCGTGGTAGTGCATGCCTGTAACTTCAGCACCTGGGAGGCTGAGGAAGGAGGATTGCTATGACTTTAAAGTCAGCCTGGGCTACAGAGGGAGTTCAAGACCAGACTAAACTGCACAGGGAGGAAACCTGTCTCACAAAGAAACAAAAGACAAAGCAAAGAATGTATAGATGATGTGCCCAGCATTGTGCCTGGTATATTTTAAGCTCCAACAAATGTTAGCTATTGGTGTTAAGAATTATCAATAGTAATACTTCTCTAGGCTTTCTCTGTTAAATAGGGTAGCTGCTAGCCATATGTTAAATTAAAATTAATCAAAATAAAATAGTCACTTCCTCAGCCACCACATTGGTCAGTACAGAACATTTCCATCATCACAAAAGATTCTGCTGGACAGAGTTGTTCAAGGATTTACTGGTAAGCTTTGTTGAATTTCCTCTTTTACTTTTGAAATGGGGACTTAGGGCTGGGGATATAGCTCAGCGGCACAAGTGCCTGCCTGACAAGTGCAAGGTCCTGAGTTTGATTCCTGGTACCAAAAAAAAAAAAAATGAAACCAGAGCTTAGTATGTTACCCAAGTTGGTCTCAAACTTGTGGGCTGAAATGATCTTCCTGCCTCAGCCTCCTGAATAGCTGGGACTACAGACATGCACCACTGCACTTGGCTTCCACATGATAATCTTATGCACGTTTCAGATGTTTTCTTTTTACCCTTTGCAGGTGGAGATCACACAATCACGTACCCCATATTGCAAGCAATATCAGGAAAGTAAGTCCCAAGTGTTTGGCCAAGCATGATTTCAGAATTCTGGAGCTCAGGACACCTCATTTGCTGCTGGATAGCTTTGGGTGGCTGCTTCGGGCTCCCAGGTTATTAGGGGATGATAGGAAATTCCCAGCTGAGTGACTTCTGCAGATCAAAATGAAGGCTGAGCTCCAGGTGTCTCTGTCAGTCACTAGCTCAAAGCCACAGCCATTTGTTAACACTCCCGCCCCCTCTGCTGCCCTAGATCTCTCCTGGGCTGTGTGCTCAGCATTTTCAACCTGTTTGGGAAGATGAGCCTTAGTGAAATTCACAACACCCCTGGCTAGCTCCAGTTTCTCTTTGGCTTCAAAGGCTAAATATAAATTACTGACAGGCAGGGCACACACAGTGTTTGTTTTTGTTTTTTCGAGACAGCCTCTGACTAGGTCGCCCAGGCTGGCCTCAAGTTTGGAACCCTCCTGCCCCAGCTTCCCTAGTGCTGGTGTTACAGGCGTGCACCAGCACGCTCGGCTGGAGAAACCCTGTTTCCCCTTCCCCACGCCATGGGAGGACTGATTTTTCAGTAGTAGAGTCCAGCAGGCATTGACCAACTTTGGCTAACTTAGCTGGAGAAAGATAGTAGGGCTGAGGCTGTGGGTGGCAGCTCTAGATTTCATTTTTGGGAAGGGCATGTGGGTAGCTTTCTGGTTGGACGTGGGCGGGGTACAGGTCTTATCTCGAAGCTGTGCTCCTCTCACTGCTGGGGACTATTTTATCGTGACTGTGTGCTGGGATGGCTGGCAGGGGCTGATGGAGAGGAACTGGGTCAAAGCTTGCGGGTGGAAGCCGGGCGTGGTGGCATACATCTGCAATCCCAGCACTCCAGAGGCTGAGGCAGAAGAGTTGCTGTGAGTTTAAGGCCAGCCTGGGCTAGTGAGTCAGCCTGAACTACATAGTGAGACCCTGTCTTAAAAAAGAAAAAACAAAACAAACAAGCTTGCTGCTGGAGCCAGGTGTGATGATTCATGCTTCCGGTCCCAGCACTCTGGGAGGCTGAGGCAGGAGGATCCAAATTTGAGCCTAACCTGGGCAACTTAGTAAGATCCTGTCCCAAAATAAAAAATAAGAAAAGGAGCTGGGGACACAGCTCCATGTGAAGGCCCTGAATTCAGTCCCCTACTGCGGGAGGGAGGGCACTTCCTGTTGGTGCTGTAGTCGGAGAAAGGATGGCTGTGATTGGTGCAGCCCTGGCCAACCTCATATCTGAGCCACCACCTCATTGTCGTTGTCGTTGCTGTCATTCCCTCTGCCCCTCTCTAAGTGAAGCAATTCAGGGTGGCAGCTGAAGCATGTGTCCGTGTTCTGCCTGGCGCCTCTGAGATGCTAAGTGATTTGTAAGGCTGATGGTTGAGGCCAGGTCTCCCCCTGTGAACTGTTGTCAAATTTTGGTGACCTGGGGACCAGGGATATAGCTTAGCAGCATAAGTGCCTGCCCGGCAAGCGCAGGGTCCTGAGTTCAATTCCTGGTACAAAAAAAAAAAAAAAATGTGGTGACCTGAGGTGGCTGTGCTCATGCCCCATGGGGTCGCTTGGCCTCTGAGCTGCCTCGTTGTCACCAGGCATGGCCCTGTGGGGCTCCTGCATGTGGACGCCCACACAGATACGACCGACAAGGCCCTGGGGGAGAAGCTGTATCACGGGGCGACCTTCCGCCGCTGCGTGGATGAGGGACTGCTGGACTGCAAGCGGGTGGTGCAGATTGGCATCCGAGGCTCTGCCGCCACCTTAGATCCCTACCGCTACAACCGGAGCCAGGTGTCAGACTGAACGCCCTTGTCCCCAAAGCGCCTTCCTTTCCTTGCCTGCCCAGTGGCCCTGATGGGGTTGACTGGAACTTTACTAACCAGGTTTAGGAAGTGGGGACAGGAAGCCGGGGCTGTGCGGGGCCGGGGGGGAAAGCAGGAAGCAGCCACCCCTTGCAGTGGCTCCCTCGCTTTAGCGAAGCTTCTCCCTGATCCCAGCTCACTGGTTAGCTGTGGCCCTGCTTCCTTAGCTCGCCTGTAAAATAGGGGCAGTAGGTCCTCCCCAGGGAGGCCAGGGTCAGCAAGGACAGGCACAGGAAAGGCTCGGTGTGGAGTGGCCTTGACCTTAACTCCTTCCCAGGGCTTCCGGGTGGTCCTGGCTGAAGACTGCTGGTTCAAGTCGATGGTCCCCCTGATGGCGGAAGTCCGGCAGCAGATGGGAGGCAAACCCCTGTACATCAGCTTTGACATCGATGCCTTGGACCCCGCTTATGCGCCGGGCACAGGGACACCTGAAATTGCTGGTCTTACCCCAAGTCAGGTAAGGAGGCTCCCCGATGGATCCCTGGGGTGGAGATACTTAGCACCTCACTTTCCTAGGATTTGTAGTGAGTCTTCAAGAGTCGGGATAGGGCCGGCGTGGTGTCACACTCCTGTGATCCCAGCACTCGGGAGGCTGAGGCAGGAGGATCGTTGAGAGTTCGAGGCCAGCCTGGGCTACAAAGTGAGCTCAAGGCCAGCCTGAACTGCATAGCGAGACCCTGCCTCAAAAGAACAAAAAAAAAAAAGAGTTGGGATGGAATCTTATAAGTGGGGCACCCAAGTTTAACGGCTCTTGGGGCTGACCTCAGTGGAACACTGAAGGAAGGGCACTGATTTGGGCAGGGGTCTCACGCCTTCGCTGAGATACGAGTGCCCCTCTGTGGTCAGCTCACGGGGCTGATGCTGTAGTGGCCCCTGCCCCTGCTGTGAGTGTTAAACCTTGGGGCTGGAGGTGTAGCTCAGTGGTAAAGATCAGGCTTGGGATGTGTGGGCCCTGTGTTCAATCCCCAGCATCCAAATAAAACCCATAAAAACACTGAATATACCTGCTGAGGGTTACATTTAAAAGGCACACCCAACAGGATTACCTCCCTACCAAGGCGACTCCCCCGCTCCAAGAAGGTGCCGAGTGCAAGCACAGGGCGTGGAGTTGACCGTGGTGACGGCTTGAAGTGAGGTGACGGGTGGGGTAGGGGCTTTGGAGGGTCCCTCTCCCGTTCCTGGAGCCACTCACAGTGCCGGGCACAGGAGCCAAGGATACCTCGAGGTGCGGTGAGAAATGAGAAGGTGCTCCTGACCCGCTTCACCCCCTCGCTGGTGTTCGGAAACACAAGCTGCCCGCTGCTTCTCGCCTGCACGATGGAAACCCTGCAGACCTGGCGATGTCCTCCTGCCCCTTCCCCATCCGGACCTCGGGCCGCCTCTGACTTCTCCCGTCACGGCGCCCTTGCCTGTCTTCCTGTCTCCCCGGAACACTCTTCCTCTACTGGTGTGTTTGTCTGCTCCTTTTCCACGCTAGGGAAGTCTTCCTCCACCTCTCCAGGATGTCACTCTTGACGCCTTTTGTCCATGGCCCAGAAGCCATCGGTTTTTGGTTGGCCTGTCTCCGTGTCACACGGTGACACCCTCTGTGGCAGGCACCTTGCACTCCTGTGGCTGGGTGCACTGCGCTGATAATTCCTGCTGCAAGGGTGGGCGAGTGTTGGAAGCAGCTCTTACTAGTGGTTGCGTCTCACTGTATACGATCCACCCTGGACAACCTGGTTTTCCCCTTGGACAGGCTCTCGAGATCATCCGGGGCTGTCAGGGCCTGAGCATAGTGGGCTGCGACCTTGTGGAGGTTTCACCGCAGTACGACATTTCTGGTGAGTTCGTAGGAAGGCTGTGACCCCTGAGCAGCTGCAAGTTTAAGTTGTATTAACCTAGTTACAAAGTTGAAAATGGGTAGGTCCCCTTAAATAACGTGGGGATCCTGCTGGGTGTATGTCCAACAGTGAAGAAAATAAACCTGTTACTGCACACCTTGCAAACAGGGAGGAGCTAATTACCTCTAACGAAACCCCTGGGAAGTAGCCATGTACCATTAGCCTGTCAGCAGAAGAGAAAGAAAGCGGCCTGAGGTTTAGTGGTAAGGGGGAACAATTCCATCCTCCTTTGGTATCTGAGTGAAAAGTGAGTGTTTAGCTGGTCGTGGAGGTGCATGCTGGTTATCTCAGGAATCTGGAGGGGCGAATTCGAGGGCAGCCTGGGGTACCAAGTGAAGCCTTATCTCAACAAAAAAGTGTGTGTGTGTGTGTGTGTGTGTGTGTGTGTGTGTGTGTGTGTGATGTAGCTCAGTGGGAATGACCCTGGGTTCAATCCTCAGTGCTGAAGGAAAAAAACAACAAAAAAATCTTAAGAGCAGATGCTGGCTGGGTGTGGTAGCACACACCTGTAATCTCAGCACTCGGGATGGTGAGGCAGGAGGATTGCCATGAATTTGAGGCCACCCTGGGCTACATAGTGAACTCAAGGCCAGCTTGAACTACATAGTGAGACCCTATCTGGAAAAAAACCAAACGAACAAACAACTAAACTGATGCTATCAGTAATTTTTTTTTTTGGGTACTGGGGTTTGAACCCGGGGCCTTCACACTGAGCTGTATCCCCAGCCCTTTTAGTTTTGGACAGGGTCTCACTAAGTCACTAAATTGCCCAGGTTGGGTTTGAACTTCAATCCTCTTGCCTCAGCAGGAGTGCTGGGATTACAGTGTGCATGACGCCCAGCTTGTCCCAGTAATTTAGAAAAAAATTTTTTTTATTTTTTGAGACAGAGTCTTGCTATGTAGCCCAGGCTCACCTTGAACTCATGGTGATCCTCCTGCCTCAGCCTCCCAAGAGCTGGGATTACAGGCATGCGCCACTGCGCCCGACTCTGTCCCAGTAATTTTAATTTAGAAACACAGCTTAGGGCTATTAGCTTCAAAGATAGATGATAATAAATATAATACACAGAATTATCAGAGGTTTTCCTGTGGTGGCGGGGAATCTAAGTGGAAGCAAAAAAACCCATGAATTCTTGTATTTCCAGATGAGGCTCAGAGGAGGCAGAATGGCAGGGACGCATGTGCACAGGTGGATGGGCAGCCCATAGAGGGCTCATAGTTGGGGTCTGAGGGCTAGAGGCTGGGGGTCCCAAGGCTTGGGTTCTATGTGGGAAGGGCAGTGGGTGTGCAGCGCCCACTCATGCTGGCTTGTGTGCGCCTCCTCCACAGGAAACACGGCTCTCCTGGCGGCGAACCTGCTGTTTGAGATGCTGTGTGCTCTCCCCAAAGTGACAACTGCCTGAGTCTTCCAGAGACTGCCTCTCTGACCAGTTCTCCGGAACTTACGAGCCAGCAACCTTGAGCATGAAGGAGTTTATGCCCACGAAGCTTTCTGCTGCAAGTGTCGCCGTGACTGAAATAAAAGACATTCAGAACTCTAACCCAAACAGCCACCATTTCTGAGGGGTTCGAATGGACTTGAAAAGTTAAGCTCCGATACCGCTTTTGAGGTTTTTCTTTTTTCCTTTGATGAACGATGGTGGAGCATACGGGAGAAGGGACGGAGTCACTCAAGGTTATCTAAAAATCAGAGAACAGGGGCTGAGGATTTAGCTCAGCGGCAAAAGCGCCTGCCTGACAAGTGCAAGGTCATGCGTTCGGTTCCCGGTACCGGAGAAAAAAAAAAATCAGAGAACTGAAATTTTAAAAACTTTCGGAATAAGACTGTGTGGATTTTCCATATTTGTATAGAATCTTCTTTTAAAATACAGCTCCTTCCCTAAAGGCTTAGGTAGGGGCTGTAGCTTGGTTTTAGGACAATTGTAAATCTACATGAAAATTAAGAATGCCCCAGTGTCCTCTGAACTAGACCACTCCAGCTGAGCCCTTGAGGAAATTTCTTCTAACACATTCCCTACAAGACTGTTTTGCATTAGTTACTTTTTGGTGCATGTATGTGGGGTATTGTGCGGATTGCACTGAGGGCCTTTGAGCTACATCCCTGGCCCTTCTTAATTTTTTAAAAAAATTTTTAAATTTTTTTTTTCTTTTTGAGGCAGGGTCTCGCTGTGTAGTTCGGGCTGGCCTTGAGCTCACTTTGTAGCTCAGGCTGGTCTCGAATGCATGACGATCTTCCTGCCTCAGCCTCCCGAGTGCTGGAAATGTTTTTTTTAAGACAGGGTCTTGGTAAGTTGTTAAATGACCCAGGCTAGACTTGGGGTTGAACTTGTGATCCTTTTGCCGTAGCCTTCCCAGAGTGCTGGGATTACTGGACAATTACTAGCACATTGTCTATTCTTTAAGGGGAGGGATTCTCTATGACAACAGTTCCTGAGATGTGCAGGTAATTATGCTGAGTATGTGTTGAGTTACATGTAAATTCAATTTTACTGATAATGTATCTGTGATCAAATCTTTATCTTGCAATGCAAGAGCTACCCCACAGTCATCACACATTAAAATAGTTTTATTTGTTTCTAGTCTGTAATAGTCTCAAAACAAATAACATCAGCGTCAGTGCCTGTTCACAATACAAGAAAACAAAAAACAAAAACAACCCCAAAACAAAAAAACCCCAAACAAAAAAGCAAACAAAAAACCCCCGAAAACAACAAAAACAACAAAAATCTCCGAACATAAAAAGATACAATTTGCCAAATAAGTTATTCGTTCCGAAGAGTATCAAAAGTGCAAAATATTCACCTTCTTCTCTGATCTGTTTCTCAAGTATAATTATATTTCTTGAACAGATTCAGCAGCTGCTACCCTGCATTTATTTTCTTGAAAAGGTGTCAGATATTTGACATGAACTAAATTTCATCGGCAAAGATGATTCTGCATCAGTTTTTGTTTGTTTTGGTGACGGTGGAGATCAAAGCCAGGGCCTCACACATGCAAGGCAACGGCTCTACCACTGAGCCACGTCTCTAGCTCACACTGCAGCTTTCAAGGAAATCTATTTTAAAGAGAACGCTGAGTGTTTGCTTCCAATTCCTACTTCCAAACAAAGCAAATCATTTTTTTTTTCTTTTTCTTTTTTGAGACAGGGTCTCGCTATGCAGTTCAGGCTGACCTTGAGCTTACTTTGTAACCCAGGCCGGGCCGGTCTCGAACTCACAACGATCCTCCTGCCTCAGCCTCCCGAATGCTGGGATTATAGGCGTGCGCCACCACACCTGGCTCAAGCAAATCATTTAAAGCATAGTCAGATTCCACTTTTTTTTTTTTTTTTGAGACAGAGTCTTACTACACAGCTCAGGCTGGTCTTGAACTCACTCTGTAGCCCACGATGGCCTTAAATTTGTAGCCACCTTTCTGCCTCAGCCTCCCGAGGCTGGGATTGCAAGTAGGTACCACCGCATCCAGCCCATTTCTTTTTACATCAAGAAAACACTTATGTCCTGATGGCAGCTGCAAATTGATTAGCATGATAATAAATAAAAGGCTACAAATATGAAGAGTGTGAATGAGAAAGACATCGACCTCTATGAAAATTATGACCAAATATGACCGAGTAGCGGCCGGGAGCCCAGGGCACTTTCTGGAAGGGAAGCCAGGCCTGCTCACTGCAATGTTGCCGAGTTGGGGCTGACAACCTCTGTGTTAGACAAACTGCGACCAACACCTAAGCAACAGAAAGCAGCAGTTTTGAAATGGTTTTACAGTCCCCAGCACCAGTTTTAGGCTAGTTTTCACCCATCTACCAAACACAATCCATGTCAGTATCAACCAGACCCTTGCCTCTTAAAGCATGAGTGGTGATATTTGCAGACTCAGGTATCAAAACCAAAATCAGATCCCACAGGATTACATATGCCCGAGTGAAGAATGACAGCACTGCCTGAGCAGGACACTGGCTCTTGTGTTTGACACAGAAGTAGACAAAATCATGGAAATAACATTCTGGAGGAAAGGCCTGCACATGGTCACTGGAAAATAAAAGTGCCCTAGTATCTTCTTGGGGTACGTGTGTACCAGGTCTCAGACAGATCTGAAGGAGCATTTTTGGACTAAAACATTTGCCAGGAATATTGTCCATTCCATCACCACTTTCTTTCCTGTCGCAAGCAGGAGTACAGCTGTCTGTTGGTGCTTTTAATGATACAGATGTAAAAAAGAGCACATCTGGGGAGTTTTTGGCTTTTAGACATTAAACCCAGGACTTTCATTATTACCCCACATTAAAAATAACCCACTACTGGACCAAAACACTCCTCCTGTTAACAACCTGGCCATTAGAAAACAAAAACAGAAGCAAAAAACCCTAGAAAATAATTTTGAGGCCGGTATACCAAGGAGCCAATGAAATGAATTCTACCTGGGCCAGGAACTACAGGTAAAGCACCCACAGTCAGCATCCATGTCTAAAGGGTCATGTGGAAGAGACATGCCTGGCAGTGAGTTCTTTATTTTTTAATAAAGCTGTAAGACTCCATGAAAAGCCATAGGAATTCTTAGGCTCAAATAATTCATTACGTACCACTGTAGCTCCATGTTTAAATTACCTAGGATCCGGGTGGCTTAGTTAAAAGCAATTATGATTCACGAAATACTAACTTAGTACGTGTCCCATCCCTGATTTTCACCCTTCATTTTATAAAAGGGCATTTGTTTTGACAGCAGAACAGACCACGCTTGGAAGCTGTCCCAACTTCACTGGTGGTTTGGCCCTAAAAACAAAGAGAACGCCCGCTCCTGCCCGGCATGACCGGGCTCAGGCCCAAGGCGCACGAAGTCCTGGTGACGAGTGCGACTGTGACTCTGGCCCTGGTGACTCGTGTGACCTTGGCTCCAGGGAACAGCGGGCACTACGGGAAAAGGGCGCAGTGGAGCCGAGACACAGGAGTTCAGGCCGGAAGTGGGAAGGAAGCCACTGCAAAACGGGATTCTGAGACAAGTCTTGGCTCACTTGTCACAGAAGCTGACTTGAAGATACAGTTCTTTTGGAGCAACAATGTTCAAAATATGACTGCTGAGAAAGTTCAGGTTCCTTGACACGAAGATGTGTCTGGGTGTTTGACTCAGAGACCGTGGATGAAGAGGTGCCGCCGCCTGACCCCTGGCAGGCAGGAGTAACAGGTCTCCAGTTTAACCTCTCCTGGCTTCAGAGCAGCTTACGTACGTCCAGAGAACAAGGTTATAAGTTATGGCTCCTAATATCCCTACTCTAACATGGACAGAGGCAGAAAGGCATCTGAAAACGTACAGGTCAACGGCTCAGGGTCACGACAGTGCTTCCTGCTGGGCGGACCCTTCCCGGGGCTGCCTGGCTCCGGCTTCCCTTCCCTGTGCTTGGGAGGGAAAACTCATACGCAGAACTCCCACTCTCCCCGGTCCTTTTTTTTTTTTTTTTTTTTTTTTTTTTTTTTTTTTTTTTTTTTTTTTTTTTTTTTTTTGTGGGGGTGTGGTTGTTTTTTTTTGGTCTTTTTTGAGACAGGGTCTTGCTATGTAGTTCAGGCTGGCCTTGAGCTCACTTTGTAGCCCAGGCTGGTCTTGAACTTGCAACGATCCTCCTGCCTCAGCCTCCCAAGTGCTGGGATTACAGGCGTGCGCCACCATGCCCGGATTCCCCGGTCCTTTCAAAACTGTTGCTGGCGAACTGTCATGGGGGATTCCCCTAAAATACACTTCTTGTCGGGTGCTCCCGGAACAACTGTTCTGGGAAGACGGCTTGGAGCGAGGCCCCTCCCGGGTCGCTGGCTGTCCGTGTGGCACGTGGCAGGAGCAGCGGGGCCGGGATGGGAGGCGGGGGGCGGTAAGTGGCCGCTGGTGACAGGCTCCGGGGCGCTGTCCCGCACCACTCAGGGTGAGCCCTGTGCTTCTCCAACGTAAGGGACAGGTCGGGAGGGAGGTGTGAGCACGTGAGAGAGGTAACAAGGAAGAGGGAATGAGCAATCTATTTAAACAGTGCGGCATTCAAATGAGGACAGAAACAAAAACCAGAAAAAAAAAAACCAAAAAAAAACAAAACCCAGAGGAAAAAGAAATATTTTGATCTAGGGACATCCAGCCTGCGGTGTGGTTCACTGCCAGGACAGAGGAGACAGTCTTCCTGCCACTGTGCTGCAGGAGTGATCTAAAACCTATGCTCTGTTCATTGTGAGAGTTGAGTCCTGAAAACACCTGTTCTGGGGACCAGTTAAAAACCTGAAGAGCTCACAGCTCTTTTGGAGGCGCTCAGTCCAGCTCTGGCCATGAGGGGATGTAGAACCTCTGTAAGGACCCCTCCAGCAGGCGCTCCATCCACAGCGACAGCTTGCTCAGCTTGCCTTTGACGGGCCTGGGCCCCGGGCCGCCCGAGGGCTTCCCCCGAGCCTCGCCCAGGTGCAGGGAGGCGTCCAGGTCGCCGCAGGACCCCATGGCCTCTTCCTCTTCCACTGTTTTTTGGGGCTTGAAGAGGCAGAAGTACTTCTTGTGGCCGTTCAGCGCCAGTACGTAGCCAGTGTAGTCCCGCTCCATGAAATGCTTGTCGTACTGGTTTGGGATGGGGGCTGCGTCCTGCGCAAACTCGAGGAGGTACTCCAGCCACTCCCGGTGCTTGTCCAGGCTCAGGAAGGAGAAGTGCAGGCAGCTGCTTCTGCCAAAGAACAGAGGGGAGACTCAGGTGCTGCCGAAGCAATGACCACAGGGGGCGCAAGGTGACAGCAAAAGGCTTTGCACCAAGGGAAGACTGAACACAGACAGAAAGGATTTCTGGGGGAGCCAGACGGCCTCCGTGACAGCTGCATCGCTCTCCTCATCCGTGTGTCTCCCGGTGTCTGGCTTCCAGACAATGCCCAAGGGCTGTTCCCAGCCTGTGTTCCGACAGGGCTCAGGGAGTAACACCGAGGTCAAGCTCTTCTGTACACGAACGGCACATGGGGAAAGAGGTCCCGAGGACAGCTCAGATGTCTGGGTTGGGAAGGACACAGCCAACATCTCGTAGCGGGATAAAGCCCTGCCTGGCCACAGGGGAAAGGACGCAACAGTCCTTCACCCAAAAGGACCCCAAAGCACGCTTTCTGTCTCCCTTTCCGGCACACATGTGCGCACATACACACACATGCATGCATACGTACACACGCGCGTGCGCGCACACACAAACACTTACCCAGTGAACGTGTAGACCTCGAAAGCAAATTTCTGCAGCAGGACAGACCTGGTGGAGTTGGACAGGATGAGGACCACGTTCATGTGGCCCGGCCTCAGGCGGACCAGGTTGCTGGTGTACGTCACGTCTGTGAGCTCGGTGACCTCCACAAAGCCTTTCTTAGGAATCTTGCTGTGGAGAAACAGAGGAGTGAAGACAGCGTCAGGAGAGGCGAACGGCACTACTTTCAGGAGGCGCTAGCACAGCAAGCCCTGGGCTCTAGCAGACCGGGACGGATGTTTACTATTGACTGGCACTGGCGGGACGGGACCACCCTGACTTGCAGTAACGCTGGCCAACAACAGCACTCTGCCGCTGCTTTTCAGCTGCTGTGGAAGCTGCCTTAGGACAGAATGAAGGTGCCGAGGACCACTCCATCTGCTTACTCTCCGAGACCCTGACTGATCCGTCATGGGCACATTCTGCTTCTGCATCTCCCACCAATCCCTGAGGTGCTTCTTGGCTGTGTTACTACATCTGAGACTGAGGAACCGAAGCCACAGGTGGAAAAGACCATCTATCTAAATCCTACAGGGTCTTGTGGATACCAGTCAGCAGGGACCTCTCCCTGTCTAGGTTCCTTATCTAAAATGCTGGTGACTAGGAGTGTTTTTTTTTTTTTGTCTTTTTGAGACAGGATCTCCCTATGCAGTTCAGGCTGGTCTTGAGCTCATTTTGTAGCCCAGGCTGGTCTTGAACTCACAATGATCCTCCTGCTTCAGCCTCTTGAGTGCTGGAATTACAGGTGTGCGCCACCGTGCCCAGTGATTAGCAGTGTTTTGGGTTGCAGAATTTTTTTTTTTCAGTTTGGAATACAGTAAAACCTTGGATTGCAAGTAACCTGTTTTTGTGAGTGTTCTGGGAGATGAGCAAACCAATTTTAATTTGATAAACGAGTGATGTCTTGCAATACAAGTAGCACGTGACACTGATGTCACATGATCACAGCTGAGCTGGGAGTTCTCTCTGTCTCCTTCTGTCTGCCTCTCTGCAGGACTGTGGGTGGTCATCTCCCAACAGCAAGAGGCTTTGGAGAAGACCTCATCTGCAGAGCAGGAGGAGAAAAAGGCAGAGGAATCCCTCACTTCAAATGAGATCAGGGAGATGGACAAAAGCACCACCTGAATAAGGTTATAGCAGTGTAAGCGATAAGTCTGTTTAATCATGATGCCATGTCACATTTCTGTGAAATCCTCAAAAAGAGGCGAAAGCAGTGTCACTGGATAGGCTCCTTGTTAGAGCTGCATGAAGAGAAAATGATCCCACTGAGTCAACAGATAGCAGTGATCCCATCTGTGACAGTGAAAATCGTCCTTTCTTGTCTCCTTCACACAAAGCTTTTCAAAGCTAAGTGCAGGTTAATTTGTTTTTCTTTGTATTTTGTGTTTTCTTTATTATTTTGTATTACATTATAGTATTATAAT